GGAAGAGACAAGGATAAATGAAACAGGAAGTTAAGAATGTAGGCAAATTTTCGGCGTCAACGCCATCTTCAGGCTAAAATTGATACAAATATTAGTATTCAATTATAAATGGTTCTACATTAAAACTATAGTTAAATTATGCCAAATCAAAATCACACACACTGAATACTGGTATTATATCTCTACTATAATTCAAAAGATTCTTTTTGTCTGTCTGTATGTACGACCGCCCACGTGCAAATTTAATGAGAAGTAGGAAGCTGCATAGTAACCATGGTGACGAGGATTGTTACACACACGTGCACGTGCGATAATTTTTGTTACGACATTTTGATCGGTTTTGTGCACTGTGGTAATTACGTTGTGTTCAGTGATGAGTGAGAGCTACATTTTAATGGGCTGTTTACTCGCATAGTTTTTTGATGCGATAAAAATTGACTACCAAAGAATACTATTAGCTTCCTCCCTGTGACCACGGGTTTTCTAGTGTTATAATAAAAGTAAGAACAGCTCACATCCAGCTTACAAGCGCCATGAATAGGAGGGACAATACAAATCCGTGCTTCGTCGCCCCTCACAGCTCGACTAGGAGAGTATTTATTTTGTTGCTGTGATGTCTATTTCTTACACGTTACAAGCATCTACTCAGTCAGCTCGTACGAAAAATATCACATCATAGTCCAGCTGCGACACGGATAAGATGAACAATGAACATATTGGACCTCATGCTCATGAGTCATCGTTTAGTTTATCTGTGAGTGGTTGCTTTATCTGTGCGTGGTTGCTCTCCCGAATAAGATGGACAATTGGACCTGGCCTCATTCTCATGAGTCATCGTTTAGTTTATCTGTGCGTGGTTGCTCTCCCGGATAAGATGGACATTTGGACCTTATTCTCATGGGTAGTATTAAGTATGTATTTATAAGAAACAACATTTGTGCAGAGCCAGTAGTTTGCACACACGACTGACCTAGATAGTTGGATAAAGTTATTTGTGGCATTTCCCGTGCTAAGTGTATTCAAGGGGGGTAAAAATAAGACCATCATTGTAATTAAAACGTCACAGGTGTGGTCCCCGCACGCAGCGGCCACGGGAGAGTTTATTTGTTCAGCGTATGTTTGAATTTATCTTTTTAGGAAGTATTCCTCGATTATTTCGATATGTTAAGTATGGACTGAAATTAAATTATTGCGCTCGAAGAACTACAATAATTTGATTTGTCCACCATATTGCTAATGATTTTGCCAAAATCATCTAGGCTATGATTCCTGCTTTTTTGTCTAATACCAAGAGCAAAGGCTATTCGATGGGAAACTAAAAAAAGATCTTTGAAAAAATCAACAGGTGCAATGAGAAATAATCGAAAAAAACAGGAGACTAACATTCGAAAGTTCTAAAGGCAGTACTTACGAAATCTGGTTTCATAAAAATGGGCCACCTCCAAGGAATCTACTTAAATTAAATCCCTAGAAGGAAATTTAGTAATTACCAAATTATCTCTTTTTTCGGATAATGGTGCCGACAGAACAATGATCACTAGAGGCGTCTTCTATAAAGTAAACACTGCTGGATGATATTAAAAGCTTGATTTATTTTATAGTGTCATCTGGTCCCAGTTCAAAATCGACGATTTAGTTGTTTCTTATTTAAAAGGAGATTAAAACTATCGGATGCTCTTGATCCCAGCGAAAACAATAGTTCCTAGCCGAATTTATCGCTGGTCATAGGTCAGAGCTTGTAAGTAATTGTATTACGATTATGCAAGCAATTTTCAATCGTGTGTACTGAAATCGAGTCTAAAAATGTATCTTCTTCTATAGTTTCTGAGCAATTACCGTGAAACTTTCAGGATATGTTCTAAGGATAATAAGAAGTTGCCCGGGAATGTTTAGATACGTGACTTTAAACACTTTTATTAGATTTAGTAAATTTTATTTATTGAAACCATCTTTGCAGTGTACATGTACAATGAAGATTGACAAGTTGTTACCTTTGATTGCAACGTACTTCGTCATAACTATTCAGGCCGGTAAGCCTTTTATTGTTTATTTCATTTAATTTCTGTAACCTTTTTAAAAACTTTAGCCGTTCTCTCCCGCAGCTAACCAAACTGATATTACTATTTTGGAATAAAGAATTTTATAATATGACTGGAAAGCCCGTGGTCACGTGATCAGAAAGCTAATGGTGTTTTTTATAGTCAGTTTTTACCGTATCAAAAAGTATCCATCACAAGCGAAGATAATCCAAAATCGTTACTATGCAACTTTATATTTCTCAACAAATTTGCAAATTGCACGTAAGCGGTCATACGTAGGTCAAAACTTTCGAATTATATGTAAGAATAGAAAACCCGAGATTACAAGCTGATAGTATTCTTTGAAAGTTAGTTACGATGATGGTCTTATTTTTAGCATCAAAAATATTCATCACAACCGAACATATAGCCGCTTTGAATGTAAAACACACTCCAGACTATGTAATAGTTCTACAAAACCGATCATAATGCCCCTTCAATAATCTTTGCACGTGCACGTTCTCATATTCGTAACTATGAAATTTCCTATTTCTCATCCACTTTGCACGTGGGCGGTCGTACGTACGTGCAGAAAGAAACTGTCGAATATCAAATATGAATATCACAAACACTTATAGACTTATATTCATTCCTTTTTGCACTTTTGCAGGAGCCGAACTAGAGAAAATATTGATAGTAAGATCTGAAGCAAAAAGCTGGTTTAATGACGATCAAGATGACCAGTATGGACTTGACCATTGTTAATGATCTGGCCCGGCGCGCGCTACTTCGTAGCACTTGCCGTCGGGCCATTTCGAGAAGAAAGCGGCGCGCGCTACTTCGAAGAAATTTAGACGAGTAACATCCGTCAAGTATGGACCGAACAAAGCTCACGATGGAGATTACAGCACGTTCTACGCTGCTAAAAGCAGTGATCTGCAAGGAAACTTTCTAAAACTTTACCTATCAGGAAGTTATGAGATAGCTGTCGTTAAGATCACCAACAGGCTAGATTGCTGTCAAGATAGGATAGGTAGTTAACACTGCCGTCAAGGTCTACAGTGGCGGGAAAGAAACGGGCGACTGCGGCACTATCTCAGGTAGTTAAGTCTTCTCATAATTTATTATATTATAAACATATTCATAATCAATACAAGCCCGTAATGCTGAGGGAAAACAAAAACACATACAATGACATTTGTCCTGTATCTGCAGTATTCGGAAACCACACGATTGGCCACAGTTACTTGACCACACTCTACAGTTACCAAGTAAAACATTATATCCCGTCTAATGACACGTACTTTAGCTTCAGATATCGACTCTGATCACTCAACGGATCCAGAAGCTCGAACATACACCCTGAATTGCAACAATGCTGAAGGAGATATGATCTTATAATATCAGGTCGAACCTCGGAGTTGGGCCATGGTATCTCTGAAGTGGTGGTATATAATTATAAAGCTAAAAGTGAGTCTCCTTTTGTCAAAACCAGATGTGAGGTAAACAGTAAACACTTAAACAGTTAACAGTTAACAGTTAACAGTTAACAGTTAACAGTAAACGACGATTTCCGGAACGGCTGCAGAGCAAGCAATCATAATCCGCGCGCTTTAAAAATAACAGAATCCCTGCGCTCAAGATACAGATGTTTGTAATTTGCTATCAGGTAGCAGTATTCAAGACTCAATAACTAAGATATCGAATGGTACGGTAGTAGTTCTGAACATGCTACTGTTAGTGTTACCTTTGTTAGATTAAGATCTACATAATCCAACGAAACTAACTTAAAACACACTTTCAATCACGTTACAATGTGTCTAAATGTGATAAACAATCAGGGACAATACATACCCGTGCTTCGTCGCCCCTCACAGCTCGACTACGAGAGTATTTATTTTGTTGCTGTGAGATAGATTTCTACGTGAGTCACGTTTTCTTCTTACAGGTAACAAGCCTCTACTCAGTCTGCTCTCATCATAGTCTAGTTTTACTTATAATTCAGAGAATTCTTTATGCTGTTTGTTTGTACGACCGCCCACGTGCAAATTAGTAAAAAAGCAAAAGGTTGCATAGTAACCATGGTAACGAAGGTTGTTACGTGCACGTGCACGTGCAAAGATTGTTAAAACGGCATTTTGTTCGGCTTTGTTGATATTACGTTCGCGTTAAGTGTTTAGTGCGAGCTACATTTTAATCGGCTGTATCTTCGGTTGTGACGGATATTTTTTGATGCGATTGAAACTTATTAACAAAATATAGCTTCCTCCCTGTGACCACGGGCTTTCTAGTATTACATAAAATGGTGATGTCCACACGTTTTAAATTCTGTCCAATTGCATACTATTTAACGAACATGAGGGTCGTGTTAATCAAGTTTGTCTCTGAATATGTTTGAAAAGAAATCCCTATACTAAACTTCTCGCATTCTTCCTTATTATTGATAAGCTGGGTTTAAATGAATTAATATAGTACGCTTCAGTCACTTTTCGTTTTATGGTGCTAAATAAGTTAATTTTTAAAATATCGAAAGAAATGTCTGGGTCTAAGTTTTTGTGAAATTCTAAATAATGAACAGCCAACGCATTATCAGGATATTTTAAAGGACTGTTAATAATAATAATAATAATAGGATTATGGCCACATAGCCATCTCGACAAAACTTGAAACCCAACTGCACTCTACGCTATTGCAGTTCGCACAATATTTTCAAAAAGAAAAATGTTCCTATCCGGAACATGTAATGATTAATTATTTTAAGGACGTTAACATGTAGTTCTGAATTTAACAATCAAGATACATTGATTCCTCGGTATTTAGCAATCAATGGGTTATTAGACATGAAATATGCATATGAATCATGCTCACATGTATTTATTTTTGACATCAAGGTTTCGCTGAGATCCCAGAAGTGACCCTTTGACGATGCTCCACTCGCTATCAGTTCATTTTTATAACATTGAAGTCGAGCTTTGAATGCGTCTACTGAACTGGCTTCTTTAACCGAACTTGGTACTTTGTTCCAGTAATTGGCAACCCGGTTACTGAGGACCTGATTCTCTGATTTCCTCTTTTATCTTTTAGGATCTTGGTACCACTACGTGATATCTTGAAAAGATCTTGTCCATAGTCCACTTTACCCTTCGTTATTTTAAAGGTTTCAATAAGATCACCCCTCATACGGCGCTCCAGTAGTGTTGTTAACTGGAGGATTCTCAGTCTCTCGTCGTATGGTAGGATACCAATCCCGTCGATTATTCGTGTAAATTCTCTCTGAACATCTTCTATCTTTTTAATAGTCCTCCAGTTTCCGTGCTCTGCTGGTAGATTCCACACTTGCACAGCGTATTCGATGTGAGGTCGAACTAGAGTTCGGTAGACATTTAGCATAACAAATTTGTTACGGCAGATCAAGCTTCGTTTGATCCAGCCTATAACAGACTTTGCTTTTTTCACGGACTTATCTATATGGTCACTCCAGTCCAGGTTTCTGGTAGTTAGAACTCCAAGATCCTTTTCTGACTTCACTTGGGGGAGGCATTCCCCATTCATGAAGTACTCATGCATTGGATTGTTACGCCCAATATGTAGAACCTTACACTTGCCATCCTTCACATTGAATCTTAGGAGCCATTCCTTCTCCCACGCATTGAGTTTCAGTATATCATCTTGTGCAACACTGTGCCTAGCTGTGCTCGTTACTAGCTTAAGATCGTCAGCAAAGAGTGATACGAAGCTCTCAATTCCATCAGTGAGATCATTTATGAAGAGCAGGAAGAGCAGGGGGCCCAGCACGGTTCCTTGATCGAGGGACCCCGGATGTTACAGCAAAGACTCTAGAAAATGATGATCCAACCCTGACGCGAAATGTTCTTCCTGTTAGAAAGTCTTCCACGACTGCAAGGGTGTTGCCAGATATTCCAAAGGATTGCAATTTTCTCAGCAATCGTTTGTGTGGTACAGAATCAAAAGCCTTCTGAAAATCGAGATACAGTATATCAGCTGACCCGTCCTTCTCTAGTATCTCACTGATAATGTCCATACATTCCAGGAGGTTCGAGACGCAGGATCTTTTTGGTAGGAAACCGTGTTGTTCATTCACAATCATGGGGGATACGTGAGCTAGAATATGGTTTCTTAAAAACCTCTCAAAGATTTTGGAAAGAACACACGTTAGGCTAATAGGGCGATAGTTGCTGGCTTGGGATTTATCCCCCTTTTTATGTAATGCAGTGACATTTGCTTGCTTCCAGATTTCGGGAATCTTTCCGTCGTTGTAGCATTTTTGGAACAGTGCTGTGACTGAATCAGCAAACTGTTTGTTTTCGGCTAGTGTTTTCAAAAGCTTGGGGTGCATATCATCAGGTCCAACGGATTTCCAGATGTTAACTTTACGAAGTTGATCTTGAACTTCACTTGTATTGAATTTCAGGTCAGGAATCGTCTCCTTTGCGCTGTCTCCGGGTAGTGGGTCAGGTATTGAGGCCTGATCCTCCTTTACAAACGTGCTCTCAAAGAAAATCCCAAGTTGGTTAGCCATATCATGTGCTGAGTGGAGTTCATCCCCACTAGCATCTCTGATTCCAGATATTGCAGCCTTAATCTTGCGCTTGGAGTTCATATAGCTGTAGAAAGCTTTTGGATTTATTTTTAGCTGTTGTTGATTGCTCTTCGATGCAGATGTTTTGAAAATTTATCGTGTGTTGTTCTACTTGTTTCCCCTATAATATATAGCTCTTGACATAATTTACACGTGACTTTGTATATTACACATTTCACATTTAGGGTTTGCAGTCGTGATTTGTTGTGATGAGTGGACATATGGCACAGTTTGCATGGCACCAGTTTGCACCATTTGCACCATACCAAATACGATATGCTAATGCCAGGCTGTTGCTACAGCTATACTATTATCTTGGTATACGTTGCATGCCACTTTTCGCGCGCGAAGCGCGCGCCGCCGAATATATATATATATATTATCATAGTAACACTAACTGTCGCTTGTCATTTTTGTACTTGATTTTTTGCTACAGTAATGCTCAATACTTATGGCACAATTTGGCTTCTCTTCGCAAATAAAGTTCGACCTTGGCTTACTGGGCCGCGCTCAGCCTGTCTGTGTCATTCCGCCTAATCTCTATTCTATGTTAATGAACATAATAGCCTGGGGTCCCCAGGTAAACCTTGGCTAGATGTCAAGAAGATAGATTTATTCATATTTTCATTGAAAGATGTATGAACTATGATGGTTTTGGTCAGCGAAATTAGTTGCTAGAACTTTCCAAACTAAGTGAGAGTGAATGTATATTAAATATTTCATTGGAAAAAAAAGAATTACGTTATTCATGGGTTACTTGTTGGCAGTGAATGTACTGTGCCGTATTGTTCTGTGCATTGTTCTGTGTATTGTTCTGTGTATTGTTCTGTGTATTGTTCTGTGTATTGTTCTGTGTATTGTTCTGTGTATTGTTCTGTGTATTGTTCTGAGTATTGTTCTGAGTATTGTTCTGTGTATTGTTCTGTGTATTATTCTGGGTATTGTTCTGTGTATTGTTCTGTGTATTGTTCTGTGTATTGTTCTGTGCCGTATTATTACAACATCAATTATACTTTACTTCATTAGATACCACTAAATTGCGGAGGAAACTTAGTCAGTAACTGAAACTTAGGTGAATAAGTGTACAACGTGCTAAACCGAAGTTCAGACTGACCAGTGAAATTGGGCGAGCGTACCAAGTGTCATTTTAATTAGATGTTTTAGTCAGTGATTTATTATTGAAGCTTGTAATTACAATAACTAATGCTCCTGTAAATACTTTAATTAATTGTTTGTTCCGTTATTCTTTTTCCTTCCTCTTTTCCTTGTCATCCCCTTTAGTTTTAAGATTCTTGCTATAAAATGGCTACAGCTAACACTATTAATGCTAAGTAGCAAACAACAAGTGGGAGGTGGATCGTTGGTATACCGTTAAATCGATTTTACACCGCAATTCCAGTCGCAAGCCTGGGACCACTACTAGCATTGTCACAACATCTACAAAGCTGCCATATAGCCTGACTGACAATTTTCTCGACTGACTGACAATGTTTCTTCTTTTCCCCATTTAGAATACAAAGATTAGTACATTTTAGCTTATGATTAATATTATATTTTTACCTATAGTTTACCTAGATTACAAACCCTGGAATCCTATATATAAGCCTATAAGTGGACGTCCATTCCATCGTTATGGATCCAACTACATCAAATTATTCAGTGATCTGCAGCTGTAGTCAGGACTAATTGCTAATGTAACTTAAAAACGTACTAATGTAACTTAAAAAGTGTTAGAAGAATCCAGAGGGAAGCTTCAGAGGGAACTTCGTTCAAAATTATTTTGTTATTTATTTTACCTTAGGAACAACAGATTAGCCTACGCCACCTTTAATTTGACAATATTTTGTTTTTATGAACCAGACTAATATAATTATAATACATAAATGGTAAAGCCACTAAAGCAGTAATATTACACATTAATTTCCAACAACATCTCCAAGATGCCCCCAGCCAGTCTCGGTCATTAGTATTCAGGTAGAAACTAAGCATCTTCCACCCATTATCTACGGTTTACCAGATATTGAACTACAAGAGTTGATTGACATTACTTATAATTATTGTCGACTGGGTATCATGAAACAACGTGCAGTGCTTCCATCAGATAATTTATAATTGACTGCATCTACAACTGAGGGAATTGCACGTTCTTTGATGATAATTCATGAAGTTTATTGAGTCAATATTAATATTAGAATATTATACGCTTATAATTTAATTCCTGTGTTTTTATGGGGCACACGCGTACCCTAGTTCGACACGTATTGTAGACTGTAGTTCCACAATTCTTTATCTCCTTATGTTCGACTCTGTCCTACCTGGACTCCAGTTTGCCAGGTACTAAAGTTCGACAATAAAACTGAAACTGGGTGAAAGGTATATCCATGAAAATACATATTATAATTTAGAAGCTTTAATTGCATTTTTTTCACAATTTTGAATCACAAATGAAATTCGATAACGTTCCTTGAGCCAGAAGGTCGACCAGCAATAAATGTGAGCTTTTTATCCCAATTAAATGCCTATGTGATCCGATAGCGTGCAGCAACAGTTATATGAGTAGCACCAGTACTTGTCAAGGGATCACAAAATAACACGGGAATTGATACAACATGATATTATTAGTCTAATTTACTCGGTTATATCATCCTTCCCATATAGGGTTATCTCATTCATCATTACTGTTATACGTCAAGATTTAGTGGTACCTGTCTTTTCCTTTTTACCTTTGAGCCATCAACAGCTTTAATTAGGCCATAGGGGGTGCACGATAAAAATAAACTTGCTCGGATTTTGAAAAATTTTGTACCATCCCAGCAAACCCTACCATCTGGGGTATATCTCCAAAAGTAAAATAGATAGAACCTTCCGGTTTTCAACAAAATTTCCGTCTCGTGAATTTACAGTTGGCTCCCCAGGAGCCAAATTGGGGACAACGTAGATTCTGAATTAAACCGAAAAGTTTGATTTTGGGCTAAATAAATGATAACAGCTTTTAAACTTTGCAAAGAAATGTCGTTGTCATGACTATTAGGCTCAATGCAGCGTGCGAAAGGTAAACTTGACGTGACGCGCGACGCCATACGTGCTGTTGAAAATCTATCACCTCTAGCAAGCCCAGCAGGCGGTAAGGTTTTCTGGGATTGTTTTTTAGAGACTGTGAGAATTTTTACAGTACCAAATTTGTTATACCTTTTTGTGAAGATCGCAGTAAGCTTTTCGCGCCTAGGTGCCATATTTGATGGTGCGCGGCTTTTGGAGCAAAAGTTTAAGTAGCTGTAAAAGTCGCGTAATTTGACCAAATTCGTTGATTTTTGTCGTATTATTCTAATATATTTTCGGTTCCTTGAATGAGATCATTCTGAAAATTGGTGACGACCTTCCAATAGGGCTTTCACAACTGTCCGAAAAATTTGGTGGATATCGGAGTTGATGTAGTGATAAAAAGGGGCAAAATACGCTGCTTTTAGCTGTAACACTAACATAATGTCTGATGGTTGGAATTGGATATCAATATGCTTTACATTTTTTGGACATTTTCCTTAGTAAGTCTATGAGTAAGCTTACCAATTTTTGTTAAAATTGAATCAAGGGAAGGTTACTCAATACGCATTTGTTTCAAGAATTTTGTGCTGGCCGAAATTAGCGCTGAATGAAAAACCATCCTACAGTCGGCACGCGCGGCTTACTGTCGATGGCGCACTACCTACCAATAAATTTCGTGAATTATCATCAAATAACGTGCAATTCCTCCTAGTTGTAGCACTGCACACTGTCTCATGATAACAACATTAGCAAGGTTGCAGGTGTTGAGTCGGTAACTGTGTTGAGTCGCTCACTGTCATGTCAGTCATGTCGATGGCGCACTACCTACTTTAATCAGTTTTAGAGAGTTTTTAGTAAAAGCGATCGATCAACCTTGCGGTCATCGTGTTAAATGTAGGGTAACCCTGGTTAAACCTAAGTTAAACCTAAGTTTTAGAGAGTTTTAAAGAGTTTATACTTATAGTAAAAGCGATCGATCAACCTGAGGTCCTCGTGTTACAGTTAAATGGTTGTTACCAAAGCTTCATGATGGGATCATGGTAAGATCACTAAACGGCCATGTTTGGGTGGTCCTAATTCCAAAAGTGGACGGCCCGGTGGACCTGACTGACAAGTTTAGTCGTGGTTCCATGAGCAGATACAGATCATGGTTTTGCATAATTTGTAATTTTATCAGAATGTGAGTTGAAATACAAATGGACCTTTAAATTGTTGTATTGCAATGTGAACTTGAGATAAATAGTAATACCGTGCTGCCTCATAATCATTTAATTTTTCGACTTATCTATTTGAGCTTAAAAAAATTCCATCTTTTTTTCAGAAACGAAGTGCTAAACCTACATCACCTGTACTTCAAACCACGTGACTCCACCACATGCGCGCGCGCGACCACGTTACCCCACTAAGTGTAGCACGTGACCTCACACCACTCCCCTTGCCGCACAGGTGACAGGATACACCACATCACCTGAGCACCCCCACTACTAACTCAGTAACTTTCAACTGTGGCGACCTAACTTTTCAAGGTCTGCTCAACAGCCTAGGGAAACTGTAAAGTTTCTTCCATGAGGTCCAGGTTGATTATTATTAAATTATTAAATTGCAGATCATGTTATTATCATAGCTTTACTAGCTATCCAGGTAGCACGTGACCATGCACTGCCCCCCTAAGCTCACCCCTCATGGGGTGATGTCTCGTTAGATCCAAGACCGGGGGCAAGGACTACTTTCTTACTTTGAAAACTGTCGAATATAGGGGTTCTTGTTTAATTTAAACGGAAGTGTTAAACAAGGAACTGAAATTAAGGGTTCCGTTCATATCAGGCCCTTCACACTTTGTTTCTGTCTAGTTCTAATGTACCGTCACAACGGTGACTTTAGTATACAGAAATGACATAATAGCCACTAATTATAGAGCAGTGATAACATTTCAAATTAATGTCGAACTCAATATGTAGGATCCAGTCAACATCTCCAAGAGAGCAGTCTCGCTCATTACCTCATTACCTCGTTACCTCATCGGTATCCAGGTATAAACCGTGTCCTCCATCCCATCATCTACCAGACATTTAACTACAAGAGATAGACATCACTTATAATTGTCGACTGGCTCAGGGCAATGGGAGTTCCAAAAGGTAGTTATTACTTACTTACTTAAGTTTGACGTAATTTAATCTCCGATATTTGGGGCGTGCAGTGGAGTTATAATTAAAGCTTTAAAGGGTACTATTGGATTGTTACCGACTCAACACCTGCAACCTTGCTAATGTTGTTATCATGAGACAATGTGCAGTGCTAAAACTAGGAGGAATTGCACGTTATTTGATGATAATTTACGAAATTTATTTTCCGTGTTTTTACGGACGGACTGATAATTAGTCTAATTTACTCGGTTATATCCTCCTTCCCATAGGGTTATCTCATTTATCATTAAATATTACAATTTAAAGCGCTGATTGTAACAACGCAGAACGTCATTGTTTGTGGTATACTGGTAGCTAACCTACATTTTGAAGAATTGACCTGCGGATGATAAATCATTCAACACTACACTATCAGTATCATGTGGCTAAGTTTTATACGTTCTCTTAGCTTCTAAGTAGCTTAATGACTCAGGCTGAAAATTCAAAATCATAACCCTATACTCTGACCCCCAGAAATGTGCACCGTGTTACTTTTAACTTTTTAAGCGGCGGCGGTCTGGACGCCAAAATTGGTTGGCGGCGGCGGTCTGACCGCCAAAATTGGTTGGCGGCGGCGGTCTGACCGCGGTCTGACTACTAGATATCCAACCCGGATACTGTGTACATGATGGTAATTTTGTTGTGTAATTGATATATTAGGTATATGAATTGGTTTTTTAACATCACTCGACATTGAAGAACCAATTTATCGTTGACAGATGTATTTGTTGATCTGACGGCCAATACCTCAAATACTGCGGTCTTGATCAAAATTTCGCGGCAGCGGCGGCGAATCCCGGTGGTGCACGTCTCTGTGACCACAACTTAACACTGAACCAATCTCTAACTCAAGCAACTGCTAAAACTTTAATGTTGACCTTGATCTTCTTTCTTATATGTACATGTCACGTGATCGTATTCTTTTGCCGATAACTCGTCAGGGAGGCATTTAAATTTTTAATCATATTTTAATTGGAGTGATTCGGAGTTAGCATTAAAAACTACATCAATTCAAGATGGTTTCAACTGCCGGGGGCACTTTTAGACAAATTTCGAAGTCTGTGTAAAGTGATTTAGCACGCTCTCATCTCTTTTCAGCTATATTATCTACCTTATCGGACCTTATTTGGACGGACATTACATGAACGGACATAATTATGAACGGACATTAATATGAACGCTCGAAGGCATTCAAAACCATCAAAAATCCGAATTTTTTCAATTTTTTTGACGTTTTTTAAATTTCAGCAAATGATTTTTAAATCCATTTTTATACAGTAAGTAAGAAAAGCAGTCATTGAGCAGTAAAAATGTTAAAATATGTGTACATGATCAGTGTCTAATATCACATATCATCTTCATCAAATGGGTTTTCGTGCATGAAATAGTCCATGCTTAAAGCATCAGTGATTTCTAGCTTTATGGAAACCTTTTTTTATCAAACTACCCCGGTCCTGCATTTCAGTGTTAACTTTTACAAGCCATTCGGCGTGAAGTGGTTTTATCTTAGACAACTTAGGTTAACCTTAACATCACGTGGAGCTTTCCTAGCACTGTTTCATGACCGCCCCCGAGTAATATGAACTATAACAACGTCGGACAATGTCCTTGGAAACACGATTTACCGTAATATCTAGAGGCTGGAACAAGTTTGTCATGTTGGCGGGGACTAGTTCATGAACTATGTTGTTGAGTGCCATAATTTCGTTGACTTTTTTCCGCCAAGTGACCCTTGAAAATATCATATACTAGTAGAGTTTTCTGTGCCTCCGGCAGACCAAGGAGAACCTTTCCATCGTTAACTTACGGCACAATAAAGTTCTCAAAGTTGTCATATAATTCTGGACAAAAAGTTCGAAATGAAAAAATGTTTGAAAAAATTTCAACGGACTTTAACTTGGACGGACATTAATTGAACGGACTTTATTTGAACGGACATTAAGATGAACGCTAGGGCCTCCAGCGTTCAAGTAATGTCCGTCCAAATAAGGTCCGATAAGGTAATACCTCGCTCTGTTCAAACTTACCATACGTTAATTATTAATATAATCAATGGACATTTTAATAATGATAAGCGGAAAGTTTGGTACCTCCTACTAAAACTCCCTAGCTAGCAGCTGTGATCTCAAATATAATTACATCATAATATAATGTGTGTTTGTTAAATTGTCTAGAGCGTCTAGAAGTATCATTATTATCGCTGAATTTGATGACATACCCAATTGTTTAATCTTCCAGCTCAGACTTTTGAAGCTATTACAGTGTAAACTGTCGGCTCATCACATCGTTGCAACGGAATGAATAGAATTAGTTAGTGCACAATAGTTTGGTATTGGTGATATGCCAATAAACTCTGCACTACCTTATCGGACCTTATTTGGACGGACATTACTTGAACGCTGGAGGCCCTAGCGTTCATCTTAATGTCCGTTCAAATAAAGTCCGTTCAATTAATGTCCGTCCAAGTTAAAGTCCGTTGAAATGTTTTCCATTTCGAACTTTTTGTCCAGCATGTGACAACTTTTTAATGTCAGTCAATTTCAATAGCTATCATTAGACTAAACTATATCGTTGAATCAATAAAAACAAGGTATTTTTCTTCCTTACTGTATGAAAAATGGATTTAAATATCATTTGCTAAAATTAAAAAAACTTCAAAAAAAAGATGAAAAAAATTCGGATTTTTGATGATTTTGATTGCCTTCTAGCGTTCATATTAATGTCCGTTCATAATTATGTCCGTTCAAGTAATGTCCGTCCAAATAAGGTCCGATAAGGTATTAGATGCAATGAGGGGAGGTCTCGACCGACTCCGAGAACACAAAGACGTGAAACTCGATATAAAGAGTTGACCGATAAAACTTTGAAGATTTCAATGCCAAGTCTGTTGTCTGAGCTAGATTTAGCTGCTAGAACATGAAACAATTGCACAATGCCATGCAAGTGCAACTGATGAGGGCAGTAGTAAACTTACCACAGCTATACTTAAATCATATCATTTACAATTTAGTACTACATTTATTTATTTATTTTGTCACTTGTTGAATTGAGAGTTGTAAAACAAAATTTACAGCCCTCGTCGTGATAACCTTCGATTATAAAAGCTAAACTTTGTGATGAATGATAGATTTTAGTTATTTTGTTTAAACTTTTTTTAAACGTGATGGATTTTTTTAGCTCTTCCGATACGAGACTCTAATCTCTACAGTCTAAGAGAATGATGATCTCTTATCTGGTTGTGGCGTTTTCGATCTTTGTGACATGCTACACTCGCAGCAGGAACTGTATAGATGATTTTGATATCGACATTAAAGAAAGCCAGGTAAATTTACATGTTATTTTTTCCCGATTATACATTTTTTCTTTAAAAGTTGAAACTGTTTAAACCAATCTTCACCCAGACTATAGTTTGGGTAGTATTATGAGTGACAAATCTATTTAAGTGACATGATTCTAATACAATCGCATGTGAATGTCTGACATTGGTGAATGGTATAAAATAAAAAGTTCAGCATGTCTTTAGTCAATTTATTGTTCTTTTTCCAATGGACGATGTTTTTGGTTTTGTTCATTTATGCTTTGTCTTACAACTGTATGAACTATTAAAATAAGCGGACTACATTTTAATTTTAATAGAATCTTTGAATTAGACAGTACATTTCAGAAAATAAAATCGTTCTGACAATTTTATGTTTTGTAAAGCCGAACATTGCAACTTCTAATGTAAAGAATGAAAGCCGCTCTTAACCAAAAACGTTCACGAAATACATAATATACATTAATTTTATAAATGGCATTTTTTTTCTAGGGCTACAACTACCCTATACCACATTCATATGAATCTGAGTACTGGAGCGAACTCCAAACTGAATACAAAGTGACAAGAAAAATGTCTTGGAGCAGGAACTTCTACATTTTTGGAAAATTTGTTGACGAATCAGCTGCAGGAGGAGATGATACCATTATTTCAGGTTAGAGATCATAAATTGATTTTTTGATTTTTATTATGTTGTGCGACAGCGATAAATGAAATCCTGAATTTTAAGATAAGTATTCAATAAAGTGTTTCACGCATTTGTAAAATATTTCAATATTAACTATAATATTACTAACCTTTCAGCCGGGCTTTATCGTGGAGATGAGCTCATTTACAAAACAATAATAAATTGTGAAAGTGGAACATGGGAAAACTGGTAAGTTTTAATGAATGATCGTCCTTCAATTAAGATGCGTCCATCCGTTCGTCCGTCCGTTCGTCCGTTCGTCCGTTCGTCCGTCCGTCCGTCCGTTTTTATGTCCGATCGTCCGTCTATATGTCCGTCCATCCAGCATCCTTGCGTCCCTCGGTCCCCCTATCCTAATTCAGTTCATTAAGTTACATTTTTACCCAGGATTCTCGACAAAAAAACGGAGCAGGAGCGAATTCTTCTTCACGGAAAAATAAACAAAACAGTTAGCTGCAAAACTGGTGATGATTTCGACTTGATCTTAAAAAATGACAATGACCGTTTAGCTAATTGGATATTAAACGCTCAACCGCTGCAGCATGAAGTCAGGAAATTTAGCAAAAAAACAGTAAGCTATTTTTTAAAATAAATAATTTAAGCTTCTACTAGAGTTTCATGAAACAGTTTGTTTTATTTAGGGTTTCTGTATGTCCTTAATTTTTCCCTGTCTACATTTTTTTGCACGACATTTTTAATGTTTGATTGAATAAACGACCATTAACCAAGGGTCACAAAATTCGGGCTTTGGCTTGTTCGCCAGAACCACATAGACAGCGTATTAAATTAATTTAGTCGTGTGTTAACGAGCGTAAAGTGGTTAATCTTTATAGTCCCTTTAATCTCTTCATTTTTTCATGTATTTACGGGCATGCTACAGTAGATTATGGTTAGGTAAAAGGATATTGGATGGCTGAACAAGAATAATGATTTACAGACATAACTTTCAGAACAAAATATCTGAAGGAAAAAGACAAATTAGAACAGGCATCCTGCGTCCTAAAGTCAAAGTGGACTCAAAGTAAGATATAGATGTAGCCTAATCCATTTCATTCATAAATTGGCAAAAAAATTAGCAAATTCATTTCATTATCAAGCAAACATTTTTTTCAAATTTCAGATACTCGACTTTCAATGCAACACGATTCGAATTCACTGCAACTGGCAGAGCTGTTTTTGACCGTTTTGCTTTTGGACAATGTGATGCGTGGCCAAAAAACATGGAGATGCAGTGCCAGAAAGTTAGAGAATGGATTCACGCCAGAAGCAAAGCGAACATGACGGAAGAAACCCTAGCACAGCTACAAAGTACTCCTGATGCGAACTTTACCAGGGGACTTGGTACATTCGGGAACAATATGGAGTCCTTCATACCAACATGTCTCACTAAAAAATACTTCAATTGGTTTCAAGGAACCGTGCACCCTGACCGTGAAACACCTATGTATCCAGGTGAACCTGCAAATAAAGAGAAACGTGCTTACTGCTGCTGCACTAACATGAAGACAGGAAGAGTGTTTGAAGATGATCCAGAAAAGAATTGCATATCCACACCCACCTGTATAACACTCGGTTGGACGTGTGTGCGAGCATATGACCCTGTAGTGGGCGGGGAAATTTATGAGGAAGGAAAAAAAGAACATTAAGCTAAGAAAAATGCTTAAAAATTTAAAAACTAGTATAGCTAGCGAAATCTGGTAGCTCAGTAACGGTTCTATTATAAGGTCTAAAATGAACGAATTTTATTGAAAAAGTTGAATTATATCGATGATACAAAAATCAGAATATGACTAGCAATTATTATTGAAATAAATTTGGGAATGGTTTATTGTTTCTTTGTTGTTTAAAGTTTAATTGAGCGTGATATTTTGATGAGACGAAATGTTACTTTTTATGCATAGAATACTAAATCTATTGTCTATACTGGTATTAACATTACTGGGCCGCGCTCAGCCTGTCATTCCGCCTAATCTCTTACCAACATTAAAGCCTGGGGTCCTCAGGTAAGTATTAACAGTGGTAAATATGAACAAAAATTAGTTGAAAATTGAAGAGAAATCAAATCATACAAATTCAATACACGCAAAATATATCATTATCACATTTGTAACAATTCTCAAAACTCATCAACCATAAAATCCAATTCAGAGAACATCCAATCCGGTCATCTTATCGGAGAATCTTAAGCAAGCATACAGCGCATCTGGAGAAGTAAGTATGAAGGTCGTCATCAAGAACACCAACATCCTGAAATATAAAAGATCGATTAAAAGAAAGAAGAAGAAGAACATCCTTGCAAGATTTTTGAAACACCCTGTAAAAACAATCGGTAAAAAGGTGTGCTTTAAATAGCTCTGGGTCAACAGCACGTTAATTTGAAGTTGTATTTCCCTCTTGAATATCCTAATAAAATATCCCCTTGTTTGAGAAAAATCCTGCACTCACCACATCATCATCAAACTCTTTCTCAGAGTTCCTGACGAACAATATCTCGGCACCAGAAGACTGGAACACACAGTTAGGACCGCTCACTGAAGTTCCAGCGTACTGACACTTGGCTGAAATCAGCGGGGAGAACCGTCTGAAATGGGTATTTTATTTTGGAAAATAATAAATGATCAGGATATTAGGATCACAATGTTTACTTGAATCATCACTGGACGTCACAGTTAGACATGCTTGATGCTTGCAAGATTCAAGAATCCAGTGTCAAGTAAAACTAATAGCACTATAGCAGTGTACCTCATACAAGACCCAGGAGTGGTCAAATCTTGTCCAACACCACCACCTCTGTCTTTAGCCTGGAAAATTAACAAGATCAATTGCCTACCAATTACTCAATTACCTACCAATTAACATGATAAATTACCTACCAGCCCTTGTTATATGTATCTTGGACAACATATCAAATTATATAAGGTTACCGAGGATTTCAGTTAATTGATAATTTAAGTTGTAGTAAAGTATTAAGCATCTTTATTTATACTTTGAAAAATTGAAAACAAAATTAATGGTAATTAATCAATGGTAACTAATTAATTACTTACCACGATAAGACTCCATCCCACCCAAAGCGTATAAGCTTCAAACTTTCCGTTATTGGCTTGCGGGCATTCAGGAACTCTATCGTTAAAACTGTGGACTGCCAACCAAGGGTAGGTACTCTGGCATACTGAGCACCGAGATATGTAATCCGTTACCTTGGGGAATGAACAGGTAATCAGAATATTGTTCTAATCTCATAGTTTCAGTAAGATGCCAACTGAAATCAAGCTTAAGTAGACTAATCTTTTTTCTTTCCTTTTTTAAATTTAAATACGTTTAAATACAGTACAGCAATAAATGATCATAAAATAAAACCGTTTGAAATTATTGCCCTTGTCCCTCACCCTAAAAGTGTATTTATTTTACCGGTTTAGGGTTTGCAACGTCGTATTCTGTCTCTCCGTAGGGAAGGAACTCTCCAATAGTGTCTCCAGACCCTTCTTCAGGACATGTACTCATCCACATGCTACTCTCGTCAAACTTTACCTGGTGTTATTATGGGCTGTTAAAAAGGTTAAACTTATATTTAATTTACGTTTAGCTAATATATTCCGTAGATTAACCTTGATGATATTTTGAAATAAACTCAGTTTTTCTATACTTTTCAACACATCAGAGATGAGCATGTCAACATCAATTTAGGGCGTTCTACCCTTCTTACCTCACACCCGGGATTGGTACTGCATTCCACAACCGGCTGAATCTCGAAGTTCTTGAGACAACTACCAGAGGAGGAAAGAGGCTGTCCCCAACCGCTACCAGAGGAAGTGTCCATGTACAGGGCACTGAATCCTTCCCAGAGGGCTATTGAGGATTCTTTTTCTATTCTCGGCATTCGTCCTGAGGAAGTGTCAAGTAAATTTTCCAATAATAAAACACTAATGTTGGAGTAATCATCACGCATCAGAAATAATAGTGGGTTACACTTACTTGATTAATGAATTAATTGATTGTTAATAATTAATGAATTTCGGTCGACTAACCACCGTTAAGGCGAGCAAGTTCATTCAAGTCGAAGCTGCAGGAAGGAGCTTGATTGGTTTGCGAGTGGATAGTGTATTGTTGAATTTGAATTTTGAGCGTATTCGGATCTCATGGTCACCCCTGATCTCCCTGGAGGACCGGGTCTGCCTCGCTCGATACTGAAGCCACCTCCCTGAGAGATGAAATTTTACGGTCTTAACAAATTTCTGATTGTTTCTGAATAGACTCAGTGAAGACAGATTCTAATGGAAATAAATAGCTGAATAACGTATCGACATTTTTACGTCACACTCATATTCTGAAATGGTATTAATTCAGCTATTTATTTCAATTAGAATCTGTCTTCACTGAGTTTCTATCTCCCCGGAGGACCGGGTCTGCCTCACCCGATACTGACGCCACCTCCTCCCTGACAAATGAAAGTTGACAGTCTTAACAAAGCATGGTTTTTAGGATGGAGGTCATTGAGGTAATGATTATTATTTGAGAATGGGTGAAAGTTTCAGTTTAAAGATGTTCTGCTGTAAAGTGTTAATCAAAGCTTCAATAAGCATATCATAATACTGTCGGATCTCATTGGAGCACAGAATCGACTTTTCAAGCTAAATGCTTAAATGTGATCAACTACATTATTCAGACTATAGAGTATTATAGACGTCACATCCTATCCATATAAACACAACACAAACTGACAAAAAGGGTTCTCACCAGGAGCGTCCCGTCTGGTCCGGGATCCCCACATTTCCCCTCGGCTCCAGGAGTTCCGTGGTATCCAGGGAGACCTGCCTGTCTTCCGGGGTTTCCGGGTCTTCCGGGTGAACCCTGGGATACATTATTAAAAAACACATTTCAGTCATTGTATATGACTAGTTTATCGTATTACATACAATCAGTCATTGCATAAATAAAACATTGTCGGACCTTATCTTAAATTTTAAAGGACCAAATATAATTTGTAGAAAAACTCTATAAAAGTTTTAAAAAGCTAACATACAGGACTGCCAGGGAATCCGCCCCAGCCGGGGTTTCCTGGTCGTCCTTTTGCTCCGGGAGCTCCTGGGGCTCCGGGCTGGTTCACTGAAGGGTGTTATCAGTTATTACTCCAAAACGTTAAACTCGTTTGCATTTCTTGATCAAAAACTTAACCTAAATTTAGTTTTGAGATAGGAAAATAAAATTAGTATCGCCCAATCAAACATTTTAAATAAACTCACTATTAAGTCCAGGTGTTCCAGGGTTGCCCCTGTCTCCACGAACTCCAGCTCTACCAGGGTTACCATCCCTACCAGGGAATCCATTTCTACCCGGACTGCCAGGCTCCCCAGCAAGACCTGCAGGTCCTGGGGATCCTCTTTTACCAGGACTTCCCGGGTTTCCCTGATGGGTAAGCTGGTAAGGGAATGACAATAGAATGGACTACCAAGTAATAAAGTTCACCACATTGGATAAACGATAAATCTGACCAACTCGAAGTATCGATTACAGAGTTCCATCATAATCTGTTAATCTATAAATTATCATCAGTCTGTTAAATCAGGACCGGCTCTCACTTACTCGGAACCCTGGGTTTCCGTCAAATCCAGCATCTCCCATTTCTCCTTTACCAGCGTCACTCCCTGGGGTTCCTCGAGCACCGTCAAATCCAGGTCGTCCACTTCGTCCTGTGGCAATAGAATTGCTGAATTGTTAACACTATGTCAACAGTTTCCTTGTCAATTTGTTTAAAATAGGCAGTCTATCATGTACTAAAGTATGTACTAAAGTATGTTCTAAAGTATGTACTAAAGTATGTACTAAAGTATGTACTAAAGTATGTACTAAAGTATGTACTAAAGTATGTACCTAAGATTATTGTGAGACTCTGTATTGGTGTTCAATTTCAGAAAAAAAAAGTAATCGAGCTGGACGTGGTACTGAATACTAAAAGATTTTAATGTAACGGCCCCAATTCTAACCAGCTGAACTAACCAGGGTTTCCGTTTCTACCGTTATCTTCTCTGAGTCCCTTTCCTCCAGTTGATCCAGGAGATCCAGGAGTTCCGTCTTTGCCTGGTGTTCCGAACCCAGGGGCACCTGGGTCTCCTGCTGCACCTTTGTTACCAGGGCGTCCATTGGTTCCTCGTAACCCCTGATAATGTATTTGCTAAACAGCTTATAAAACTTATTTCGTAAAAACTATATCGCGATCAGATTTATATTACAATATGCAGAGTCTCTCTAAGTTAGTCACCCAATATCTTTACTCTTCCACTCATATTTCCACTAATTAACTAATTAATTACGCCATGAAAACATATACAATTCTTACAGGGTTTCCAGGTGATCCATCCATGCCTGGTACTCCGTCCTCTCCTCTTACTCCTGCTTTACCAGGTGTTCCCACTGCAGTTTCTCCTGGTCTTCCTGCGTACCCGGCTCTGCCAGGGTAGCCTGGATTCCCATCAGCTCCAGCCAGTCCGGAAGTGCCATCTGCTCCGGGTATTCCTGGTTCTGATCCCAGCTTACCGGGAGTTCCTGGGTTACCTGGATATCCGCTTCGTCCTGGACTGCCGTTTCTTCCGTCGCGTCCATTTTCACCAGGCAGACCGTTAGTTCCGAAACCAGGGGTTCCCTGGAGGAAAAGTTAGGATATTAAAACAATCATTCTCCAACAAAATGGGGTTTTTTTTAAACTTACCATATGTGAAATCTCAAATCTGGTAAAATGAAATGCTAGACTACAATGTACTTACTGGAGTTCCAGCATCTCCAATTTCTCCCTTGGTACCAGGTGTACCTGGACGCCCAGATTCTCCTCGGTAACCGGGTGTACCGGCCCTTCCTGGGTATCCATCTCTAGAGATTCCATCATAACCTGGGGGTCCAGGGGGTCCCTGAATGATGATGATAGTATTAATTTGATGTGCTCACTGTAAATTATAATGATTAAGAACTTACAGTAAAATTTAATCTAATAAAAAGCAGTTATGTATGTAATAGAATTACTCACGGGAGGACCAGCGTCTCCACCGGCTGCTCTAGATCCTGGTCGACCTGGTAAACCAGGGTTACCAGCAGGTCCAGGTCCTAGCTCCAGCTTGTCACCAGGCTGTCCTGGGTTACCTGGTGTTCCTTCGGTTCCAGGATCTCCCTGTATTGGTGAAGGAGTTAATTTTTCGTTTACACAAGTGTTAGACACAACCGACTTTTTAAATTGGCTTTATACTAGTGTAATTACAAGGTATAATGGGGTGAATAGCTAATGAAATACAGAATAGAATTGAACTAACCCGGAGGCCAGCTCTGCCAGGGAAGCCACGTCCAGGATATCCAGGATTTCCAGGCTTTCCAGGAATAACGGTCTTTTGTCCCCTTTCTCCTTTTGCTCCAGAGGTTCCTGGTGTTCCCGGGGTCCCTGGAAGTCCTCTGTTTCCCTGATAGTTTTAATCAGTTAATTTCTATTTCATACTCGGGAACTAAGGTGATTGGAGTCATTTAAGGGTTGTATGATCGTGACGACAAAAAGTACTGAATAATGTCCTTTACAGTTATGTTACTCAATATGCTTCATGTACTCACAGCATATCCAGGTCGACCAGCAAGTCCATCTCGTCCGGGGTTTCCGTCTCTTCCGGGATCACCATTAGTACCTTCAGTTCCTTGTGTACCCTGTAAGTGGAGATTGAGAATTGGATAGGTATTTCCCCGTTAAGCTGGGGATTTTCATGACAAAGTGTTAGATTTGGTACAAGAAAACTACGAGCACAGTTTTATTTGCATACTATAAAGGAGATGAACTTAATTAACTAATGCACCAACCGGTTCACCACGGTCTCCCCTTGCTCCACGGGTTCCGGCCATGTTACGTCCTGCATCTCCATCTAGTCCTGGACATCCCGGTGACCCTGGTTGTCCTGGTGACCCTGATTTTCCTGTGCTTCCTGCGTCTCCTGCATAATAATTATTATTATCAAAAAATCATGGGAAATGAAAATTAAAGTTACATTTACTTCATTATTCCCTCAAGAAGCTGAATAGGATACTGGGGTATCAATAAGAGCTGCAAATCCTCTGGTTAAAGAGGCGAGGCCTAAAGCAAGCTGCCAAAAGTCTATTATTTCTCAATAAACCAAGTCACTAAATCTTACATACCTCTGTATCCAGGTCGGCCAGGATATCCGTTTCTTCCCGGAAGTCCGGCGTTACCCATATCTCCTACTTCACCCGGTGTACCGTCCGTTCCTCCGTTACCAGGCAATCCTGTACATTTAAGAGGGTCATTTAAATGTTAGGCTGATAACCGTAAATATATATTAGCCGCGTCTCCTACGAGACTTTCTACTATACTTTTAAAAAATGCTTGATATTAATATTCTATTCAGCTATTTAGTAAACTTTTAGAAAGTTTATAAACTTTCTATAAATAGAATCAGTTTAAACCGGCTCATACCTGGACTACCGGGGTTTCCATCAGTTCCAGGAATACCATTTGCTCCTCTGTCACCACCAAGTCCTGGTCGACCGGCACGGCACCTTTCGAATGTCGCTATCTAGCGCTATCTAGCGCTATCTAGCGCTATCTAGCGCTATATGACGCTATATGACGCTATATGACGCTACGCTAGATGACGCTAGATGACGCTAGATGACGCTAAGCACGCAGCACTGACGCCAGGCGACAGATAGCGCTATTTTCATAAAAATTCTAGGGACGACATCTAGCGTCATCTAGCGTCATATGTTGCCGCGACATCTGACGCTATCTGACGCCATCTAGCGATATCTGACGTCATCTGACGACATCTGTCGCGACGACATCTGACGCAGGCGACATCAAGCGCTGGATAGCGGGATAAGTCAGTTTACGACAGTTCACGCTATCTAGCGCTATAAAGCGCCAGATAGCGCTATATAGCGTCAGATGTCGTTGCGACATATAGCGCTAGATAGCGTTAGATAGCGCTAAATAGCGTTAGATATATAGCACAAGATATCATATCCTATCACAGTAACAGTAATCCTAACTCTGTGTGTGTGTGTGTGTGTCTGTGTGTGTGTGTGTGTGTGTGTGTCTGTGTGTGTCTGTGTGTGTGTGTGTGTGTGTGTGTGTGTGTGTGTGTGTGTGTGTGTGTGTGTGTGTGTGTGTGTGTGTGTGTGTGTGTGTGTGTGTGTGTGTGTGTGTGTGTGTGTGTGTGTGTGTGTGTGTGTGTGTGTGTGTGTGTGTGTGTGTGTGTGTGTGTGTGTGTGTGTGTGTGTGTGTGTGTGTGTGTGTGTGTGTGTGTGTGTGTGTGTGTGTGTGTGTGTGTGTGTGTGTGTGTGTGTGTGTGTGTGTGTGTGTGTGTGTGTGTGTGTGTGTGTGTGTGTGTGTGTGTGTGTGTGTGTGTGTGTGTGTGTTTTACTGGGACCGTAAGCGCAGCCTGTCTTTTCCCACCCAATCTTTTTTGTTATTTTTATTTTGTATGAAAATTAATTTTTACTGTGTATGAAAATTAGTTATAATTTAAGTGAGAATGCAAATGATATAACTATAAGCTTGCGCGGCTCGTCGAAGTCACCCAACTATTACACTCGATTTATCAAATATTCGGCTGAGTGGAACAAAATGTTAAATATCACTTAATCAAGGGGTCGTTTACATATTATAATTATATAAAGGGCCTGATGCCGCCGGCTGGGGTTTTCCAAATTATTACGCTCGGTAGTGTGATTGTGACATAATCTGGGTGGTAGAGGGTGGTAGAGGGTGGTAGAGGGTGGTAGAGGGTGGTAGAGGGTGGTAGAGGGTGGTAGAGGGTGGTAGAGGGTGGTAGAGGGTGGTAGAGGGTGGTAGAGGGTGGTAGAGGGTGGTAGAGGGTGGTAGAGGGTGGTAGAGGGTGGTAGAGGGTGGTAGAGGGTGGTAGTGCAGGTGGTAGAGGGTGGTAGAGGGTGGTAGAGGGTGGTAGAGGGTGGTAGAGGGTGGTAGAGGGTGGTAGAGGGTGGTAGAGGGTGGTAGAGGGTGGTAGAGGGTGGTAGAGGGTGGTAGAGGGTGGTAGAGGGTGGTAGTGCAGGTGGTAGAGGGTGGTAGTGCAGGTGGTAGAGGGTGGTAGTGCAGGTGGTAGAGGGTGGTAGTGCAGGTGGTAGAGGGTGGTAGTGCAGGTGGTAGAGGGTGGTAGTGCAGGTGGTAGAAGGTGGTAGAGGGTGGTAGTGCAGGTGGTAGAGGGTGGTAGTGCAGGTGGTAGAGGGTGGTAGAGGGTGGTAGTGCAGGTGGTAGAGGGTGGTAGTGCAGGTAGTAGAGGGTGGTAGAGGGTGGTAGTGCAGGTGGTAGAGGGTGGTAGTGCAGGTGGTAGAGGGTGGTAGTGCAGGTGGTAGAGGGTGGTAGTGCAGGTGGTAGAGGGTGGTAGTGCAGGTGGTAGAGGGTGGTAGTGCAGGTGGTAGAGGGTGGTAGTGCAGGTGGTAGAGGGTGGTAGAGGGTGGTAGTGCAGGTGGTAGAGGGTGGTAGTGCAGGTGGTAGAGGGTGGTAGAGGGTGGTAGTGCAGGTGGTAGAGGGTGGTAGTGCAGGTGGTAGAGGGTGGTAGAGGGTGGTAGTGCAGGTGGTAGAGGGTGGTAGTGCAGGTGGTAGAGGGTGGTAGTGCAGGTGGTAGAGGGTGGTAGTGCAGGTGGTAGAGGGTGGTAGAGGGTGGTAGTGCAGGTGGTAGAGGGTGGTAGTGCAGGTGGTAGAGGGTGGTAGTGCAGGTGGTAGAGGGTGGTAGTGCAGGTGGTAGAGGGTGGTAGTGCAGGTGGTAGAGGGTGGTAGTGCAGGTGGTAGAGGGTGGTAGAGGGTGGTAGTGCAGGTGGTAGAGGGTGGTAGAGGGTGGTAGAGGGTGGTAGAGGGTGGTAGAGGGTGGTAGAGGGTGGTAGAGGGTGGTAGAGGGTGGTAGTGCAGGTGGTAGTGCAGGTGGTAGTGCAGGTGGTAGAGGGTGGTAGTGCAGGTGGTAGAGGGTGGTAGTGCAGGTGGTAGAGGGTGGTAGTGCAGGTGGTAGAGGGTGGTAGTGTAGGTGGTAGAGGGTGGTAGTGCAGGTGGTAGAGGGTGGTAGTGCAGGTGGTAGAGGGTGGTAGTGCAGGTGGTAGAAGGCGTAGGTTTTATTGGGAAGGTGTTGAGGGCGATGACGGCGAGCTCGAATTATTAATAGATGCGTTCCAAAGGAAGAGACGTAGCGGCATATTTACATGATGAGACGTATAATAACCGTATAACGGCATTATATTTATATGTTGAGGTTTGTTTAAAGATTATGATCAAAACTATTTTGAGGCTTAAGCTTAGCATACGCTGCAGTGTGGTTCGATCACATAACTTGTTAGGAGATGTATATTTGGCTGGCAGAGCTAGAAGGTCAAAGTTAGACCTTCGAAATAAAACGACGTGTCTCACTGACATTTAACACGGAAATATGACGAAAACAAAACCTGAAAATGGTCTTTGAATGATTATAAACAAAAGTCAGTTTAAACATTGTAGACTGTACAATTAGTTAAACAGATTTCAACGCCAAGATGTAACTAATTATTTGGCGATGAGCAATATTTTCAGAGAAAAACAACGGCCATTTCAAAGTGACAAATGATTGGTTCAACGAAAAAATAATATCTCGTGAACATATTTACCAACGACATACAACATTTCTATAACACCTTGCATTTTCGTACGAAAGTATGAACAACTCCAGCACTCCCAAGTGACCAATATACAGCTTTGGTTAAACAACAGACTTCTTAAAGTAAAGGGGGTAGGTCTTAACGGAAAGAAGCCAGTGTAGAAGGTGTGCAAATGGAGTTTACGACATTTCAGCTCCACTCTTCATATCACAAAATTTGGCACGATATCTGTAAACCTAAGACATAGCTTTACTCGTAAAGGTGGCCATCTTCTTATTGAAAACGGCGAGGGGTTAAATGTTCGGTGTCCGGGATCACATGCAACTGTAAATTGTGGTGATAGGTACTGGAAATGATGGAGGAATATAGATTAAAGTAGATAGGTACTGGAAAATGATGGAGGAATATAGATTAAAGTAGATAGGTACTGGAAAATGATGGAGGAATATAGATTAAAGTTGTAATTAAGATCAAGAATATGTCTAGTTAAAGAGTATTTAAACGAAAGGATCGGTAAGTTCGAAACTGGACGTTCTAACACGATTATAGTTAAAATCCTGATCAGGTGTCAATTAGTTTAACCGGATACTAATTACTAATAGTTGGATAATATCCGGTCGGATACTAAGTCGGATACTAAGTCTTTTATATTTCGCCTGCAAAGTAAAAGCCGCACTTGGATCAAAATACCACGTCAAGTATATGCATTATGCATTTGAACCTAGAGTTTAAGTATCTTTAAACTTAACTACATCGAGCAACGAAACAAAACCAGCTAAATAACAGTTATCTGCTGCATCAAAACAGCTCAGTATACCCAATCTGCACACCAACTACACACATTTATCCAGCTCCTCCTGCTCTGTGGCATCACCAAGTAATGTCAACGGGCGCTGGCCAATCACCACGCTCTCTGAGGGGCACGTGATGTGTATAAACCAATCAGATGAGAGGGAGAGACAGCAAGTGACCAACGAGGGAGATCTGCCTCTACGTGGGGTCTATAAGGTCCTAGCGTACAAACTGGTGTTTGTTGTATAGGTGGGAACTTTGGGCGATCCAAAATATTCATAACCGTGGCAATAACATAAATAAATAATAATAACATGAATAAATTAAGAAAGAAAAAATAAGTCGAGGAAAGGAGACTTATGTTTTAAAACTGTACATGCAGTTGTTGAACGTTTACCATATCGCATAAGGATGTCTTAAAATTATCCCACACTAAAAGACTCAACTCTGTCTCAATAAGAACCGTAAATTTAATTCTGACACTAAACATGACCGCAACACCTAAACAATAAAACCTATTTTAATTTTAAAACAACGTCGTAAAATACTTCGAGAACATAAAATACTTCGAAAACATAAAATACTTCGAGAACATAAAATACTTCGAAATCTGATCCAATTTCTCAGAAGATTACAGGAATAGAAGGTGTTTTAATAGATTAGAGGGAAGAATGGTAAAGACTCTTGTTTCAGACTCTTGATACTTTATTAGTTATTACCACTACTAAATACACATTCTTAACTTCACACGAATGGTCTTTAACCACGTTTAATGTAACTACTTTTGAAAGCATAGCTATTAGCTATTAACAAGTAGGTACAATTCATCATGATCAGCCAGCCGGAAGCTTTGGGTAAAATGTAGAATGAGCCCCTTGACATTATCAAGACATTTAAGGCAACCGGTTAAAAATCGAAATTTCACTTTACTATTTACGTAACTTCGTAAAATGGAAACACGCCCTAGGCTGCAACATTAGGATTGAAGACCTATCGCACTACAATTCAAGCTCATGAACAGGTAAAATAAAGTATAATTTGAATTGAAGGCTGCCAGACCGTCACTAAATTATCCACTGAATCAATAGCAAAGATTCGACAATCTGAATAGTCTAATTGGATGGATACATGACGACTGACAGTTGACAACTAATGATTTTCAGAAGTCAGGCCTGCACAACTACATTGAGCTTATCAGTTACCAGTAACTTTCTTTACAGTATGAAATGATCCATTGAATCTCTCTCAAAGGTTTGGCAATCCAAATCTCTTTCATTCGTCGTATCGCAGGAAAATGAACGAAAAGATGGCGATAAAACAATTATTGTTGTGCTGAAGCCAGCAACATGTACAATGTGCAACTACATTAAATATGAGGAGCTTAACAACTATACACATGTCTCGACTAAACGTCTGATGAATATTTGCATAAAATATAATATCGGAATTGATAAAAGTTTAATAATTATAAAGTAATTGATGTTAATCGTTTCATGCGCGAAGTATCAACGGTTTATTTCGTGCTTGACTTGGTCCAATGTTCCGCTTTGATGAACACGCTGACATAGGATGGTATTGAAACACAAATGCCGGAGAGGCCATACTAAGTACGGTGACATTTTAAGCTCCGGCTCAAAATGGTTGATCACACATTGCCAGTCCCCTCGGTCTCCATGTAGACAGTAAGTTTACTTGCTACAGAGTGGGCGACGTGTGGTCAACCAATTTGGAGCTCACAATGTTCCCTCACACACCAGTTGATTAACAGTAACACCTTATAATCCGTACCATACAAATTAATTACACACCAGCTGATTAACAGTAACACCTTATAATCCGTACCATACAAATTAATTATGATAGTTTGTGCAGTGATTAATTATGATAGTTTGTGCAGTGATTAATTATGTTAGTTTGTGCAGTGATGGGTGCCTTAAATCCTGGTTTAATCGCTGCTCTGCAGCTGTTATAGTGTTATTTGTTCTACGTTTTAGCAGCACATAGTTATTTCGTATTTAGTCCCATGGATACTGATTTGATTTATTAAATGTAACTGATTTACTAATGAAGTGCATTTAGTGTTGTTGTTATTAGTTTAAAACGTTAATTATGAATTACAAATTTATCACATTTATTGGATGAAAATGAATGTGAATGTGTCAGTTTCAAATATTTTCAAGCAAACTTTCAGTAAAAGCTCCGCTTTTCAATAATCAATCATAGAAAGTTAACAAATCGAATCACTTCGACTTAGTATAACCTAAACCAGTAACACAACAAAAATGTGCTAAAGTTTTAAGCTGTAATTAATAAGACTTCAGGTTAAGACGTTGGTTTTATTTTTATTAAACTCTTCAAAAAGACCTTAAGGCTTAATCACATCAATAAACTCGACAATAATCAACCTGTAAAAAGCGACAGAACTGAACACAACTCAATACTTATGCTATTAATACCGAACATCTAGCTGCCACAATCTGAGACCCTATTGTACTGACGTGCTGTACGGGGCTAGCTGCTAATTGCATTCTTTACTTCCTGTGACAACAGATAAAAGGCAGGATCTGCGTCAAACTTATAGAACATACGATCTTAAAGTTACACCCAAATAAGGGCATTACTCCAAACCACACCACGAGGTTTTGGTCTTTATCAAACTACAAATATTACAAATATAACTGTGACACACACTTTCTATTCACACACTTTCTATTCATACCCTTTCTATTCATACCAATCAAACACCGAATAATAGTAATATTACAGTCTGATAGGAATAAAGTTCAACTCCTTTTAAAAAGTTGAAAACAACGTATATCACTCTGTAAGGTACAAGTGAGCTGTGCTACGTTTATATGCTCACGACTAGCTGTTTGGCTACATCAATCCCCTCACCGACCAAACTACACTTACATCTGCTCATATTTACATCTCAGCTCCGGGATATGCAACTGGTTAAAATCCTACCGGACTACTATAGTTACACGTCAACTTCAAGTCTACTACCCTAGTCGTAGGTGACTTGATTCTGACTTGACTGCAAATTACATCATGTAATTGTAACAATCTTAACACATTGCACAATGTACTATTGTATGAGCCCATAATATTTATAACTTTCGGCTGGATAACATGCCACAAAAAGAAATGCGGCCAGTCTGGCCATCTTGTTCTGAGGATTTGCGGCTCCTTTATAATATTTGATGTTGTAACAAAATAACGTCTTGACAGGTTTAGCACAGGGCCGACACGAGTATAATTAAACCAGCTGTTAGTCTGTGCTGTATAGACTTAGAGCCACAAATCTAATTGAAACACCAATTATAACAGTTTTTGGAATTGTTATCTTATATAGTGGGCCGGTAGATTAAGTTGACATTTTTAGGTGGCTGTGGAAATCGTGGAAATGTATAACTGATTTTAAAAGCCGGAATATTAATTTCAAATCAACGGAACCAACGAAATGATTTAAATCACGGCAATACCTTATCGGACCTTATTTGGACGGACATTACTTGAACGCTGGAGGCCCTAGCGTTTACGTTAATGTCCGTTCAAATAAAGTCCGTTCGATTAATGTCCGTCCAAGTTAAAGTCCGTTGAAATTTTTTCAAAAATGTTTCCATTTCGAACTTTTTGTCCAGAATATGACAACATTTTAATTTCAGTCAATTTCAATTGCTATCATTAGACTAAACTATATCGTTGAATCAATAAAAACAAGGTATCATAAAATTTTAACAATCTGAATTGTAAATATCACATTATTGCATGATCACTTGAAGTTGATCTTCGGCTTCTTCTACCTCATTTTGTCTTACAACTGGTTGTCTGTCCAACTCGTAGTCGTACCGGGCAATGAACGATCCCAACTGCTCTACTAGAGAGATACTTGAATGCCTAAAGTACAGCTTAAGCTTTATCTCTAGCTCCCCACTTGGTATAGGCGACCTTCGGTGGCTTATGTCAGCTACGATACCTTCTACCATACCACCCATCTCGATAAAGTAGAAGACAAACCGGGATATCTCCCTGCACGAAAACCCATTTGATGAAGATGATATGTGATATTAGATAATGATCATGTACACATATTTTAACATTTTTACTTATTATAGACTGCTTTTTTTGCTTAGTGTATGAAAAATGGATTTAAAAATCATTTGCTAAAATTAAAAAAACGTCCAAAAAAAGTTGAAAAAAATTCGGATTTTGTATGGTTTTGATTGCCTTCTAGCGTTCATATTAATGTCCGTTCATAATTATGTCCGTTCAAGTAATGTCCGTCCAAATAAGGTCCGATAAGGTAAGTGAAAAATACAGCCGGTATCTGCTCACACCGGTACACGCATGATTCTAAATCTGGCGTATTGAGTTACAATGTTGCACATTTTAATATGAGGAGGGGACGAGGCCTACTAGCTGTTGAGGGTAAGTTTAGCAGTTATCTTAATATAGGTGGACCAGGGGTGGTATCTCATTTACAGTAATTGTTACTCAGTTACTGTTACTGAGATAATATCCTTACCAACTGTCAGTAACACTGTTATGACTACGTGGCAGATGCTGGTTACTGATAACGTTAAAATATTGCACACTGCGAGTTTTAATGACCTAAATCTTCAATTTAGATAAAATTTTTTTTTTACAAAGAAAAAACGTTGCCAACAATACAACACACCCGACGAGATTTAACAAAAAAAACGTTAGCACTAGACATGGACATCGAGATTTATCTGCATAAACTAAAGGCGTCATTTTCTACATGACATTTACAGAGCCATGGGCTGTTTAAATTTGTTGGCACTCACAAGCATGTCGAATACTAAAAGTCAGTGTTGAAACTAGAGGACTAGATTAATTAGCTGTCAATGAAATGATAAATGTCAAAATTACATTAAATTTAACCGATGGTTATCGCTTCGAGGTGCAAATGTAAAACTGTGACTAACAGTAACCTAACAAAAATCGATGCAAAATCCAGGACAGATAATATTGATTCCAAGCCAAATTTAACACTTTCATTTAACAAATATATTGATTTAGTAAAGGCAAAGCCTATAACTAAACTAAAACAGTATTATAAGTGTTGAAGGGTAGATCTGCTAGAAAACTTTGTATTAAAAACGTTTGAAATTTTTAACTAACAAAAAGCGATGTGCCAGGAATATTCTATTTCCACAAAAGTGCAAGCGAACATTTAATCAACAATTGAGTTACATATGGCATATGCACACCTCGCCTACCAGACTTTCTCTGCGTGCTTCCGATTGGCTGCGGGATCATGACGCCACCCAAATACAGCGCTGTGATTGGTTTGTTGGTCGTAAGAAATGTTTTGATTGGTTGTTTTCCTGATGCTTCCTTGAAGGAGCGGTGGAGGGACAATGTGCGTTGAAATTGATGCGATCGTGGAAATACAGTATAATTGTTGAAATGGTTTTAAAATATGTGTAGCCTTTAATTGACAAATTGGAATTTAGGTGACTAATCCAATCGTCTCATACAGGATATTTCTTTAATCTTGCAACACTTGAACCAGACAATGACTTATAACAATCGAATAAAGTAAACTTAAGGCTTCAGCAACCAGATAAGTTTGCTATTTTGATTTAATTTTTAATGTGTATTTTAATGAGTGGGTACTTAACGATAAAGATTTATCTGCATAAACTAAAGGCGTCATTTTCTACATGACATTTACAGAGCCATGGGCTGTTTAAATTTGTTGGCACTCACAAGCATGTCGAATACTAAAAGTCAGTGTTGAAACTAGAGGACTAGATTAATTAGCTGTCAATGAAATGATAAATGTCAAAATTACATTAAATTTAACCGATGGTTATCGCTTCGAGGTGCAAATGTAAAACTGTGACTAACAGTAACCTAACAAAAATCGATGCAAAATCCAGGACAGATAATATTGATTCCAAGCCAAATTTAACACTTTCATTTAACAAATATATTGATTTAGTAAAGGCAAAGCCTATAACTAAACTAAAACAGTATTATAAGTGTTGAAGGGTAGATCTGCTAGAAAACTTTGTATTAAAAACGTTTGAAATTTTTAACTAACAAAAAGCGATGTGCCAGGAATATTCTATTTCCACAAAAGTGCAAGCGAACATTTAATCAACAATTGAGTTACATATGGCATATGCACACCTCGCCTACCAGACTTTCTCTGCGTGCTTCCGATTGGCTGCGGGATCATGACGCCACCCAAATACAGCGCTGTGATTGGTTTGTTGGTCGTAAGAAATGTTTTGATTGGTTGTTTTCCTGATGCTTCCTTGAAGGAGCGGTGGAGGGACAATGTGCGTTGAAATTGATGCGATCGTGGAAATACAGTATTGTTGAAATGGTTTTAAAATAGGTGTAGCCTTTAATTGACAAATTGGAATTTAGGTGACTAATCCAATCGTCTCATACAGGATATTTCTTTAATCTTGCAACACTTGAACCAGACAATGACTTATAACAATCGAATAAACTTAAGGCTTCAGCAACCAGATAAGTTTGCTATTTTGATTTAATTTTTAATGTGTATTTTAATGAGTGGGTACTTAACGATAAAGTTACTCAAAGTCAAATGTGAGAATCGGTCGATTTCCTCCGTCATACCAGCGTTAAAATTTAACTCATGCTGTCAGAGTTCACAACCTTCAGAGTTCACAACCTTCAGAGTTCACAACCTTCAGAGTTCACAACCTTCAGAGTTCACAACCTTCAGAGTTCACAACCTTCAGAGTTCACAACCTTCAGAGTTCACAACCTTCAGAGTTCACAACCTTCAGAGTTCACAACCTTCAGAGTTCACAACCTTCAGAGTTCACAACCTTCAGAGTTCACAACCTTCAGAGTTCACAACCTTCAGAGTTCACAACCTTCAGAGTTCACAACCTTCAGAGTTCACAACCTTCAGAGTTCACAACCTTCAGAGTTCACAACCTTCAGAGTTCACAACCTTCAGAGTTCACAACCTTCAGAGTTCACAACCTTCAGAGTTCACAACCTTCAGAGTTCACAACCTTCAGAGTTCACAACCTTCAGAGTTCACAACCTTCAGAGTTCACAACCTTCAGAGTTCACAACCTTCAGAGTTCACAACCTTCAGAGTTCACAACCTTCAGAGTTCACAACCTTCAGAGTTCACAACCTTCAAGACGCCAATGTCGGAAATAGCAGCAGTGAGGGATATCAAGCACCGCGCCAACTCGATAACGAGTCGGGAACTTAAACCTTCAAGTTTAACGACTCATTAAAAAATGTACAAGTTATGTTTAACGAGTTTATTTTTTGCTCCTAGATAAAGTTGATAGTTTTGCCGGAAACGAACACATTAAGCAGCAATGTTAATGTTATGATTATAAAACTGAGCCATCTAATCAATCCGTAATCAACATTATACAAAGCCCTTATCAACTATTGGAAAGATAAGCCGGACTTTCAACCTCACGAAAAGTTTTAGATTGGACCATAGCGGTTTAGGGCTAGGCAACTAAAGAACTAACAGGTTCTGAAGAATGTTTTTGTAGGTGTGATGTGCACAGTTCACGTGGTAAACTCGTTATATCAGCGAGAAAGATATCTGATATAGTGACACCCAACCCTGGGGACCGTTATTCAGTTTATATGTAACAAAACCCAATCTAAGAGTTAATCACATGATCAGCGCATGATAGGAACAACTGAACATGATATATGAAGTGAAACTATCGGACTGCGACGAATGGGGACTTGCCAACCCATGGCAGCAACATTAAAATATTTTGACTCTGTTACATCGCTTCCTGTTCATATAAATCTCCGTAACAAAATGAACTGGGATCTGGCAATACTACACCAGACACCTCAGATCAATTAAAAAGAGATTAATAAAGTAATATAACTATACTTATGCGAATGTTTACCTGGGGACCCCAGGGTATACATAGTAAGCCTAGTAAGCAAATGTCTAATAGATTAGAAAACAGAAGATTATATACTTCTAGAAAGCTTAATAATATAATAATAAACTATGAAAGAGAATATATCGCATATACAACTTTTCCGAAGACTTTATAGTTTTTTGCACTTATAAGTGCACGCGCAAGACGCACGCGCAATGTTTGAGCCATGCTTACTAATATCAAGAATAAGTATAACAATTCAGGTGCATATCATACAAAGAAGATTATCTGGAGAAACGTATTTTTAGATTAAAATACCTGATACAGTTCTCGCAACAAATACTTTGATTACTATTACAGCAGCGGGTAGACTAGTGACATGGTTCCGATATGGTACATACTTAGCTGAAATTAAATTTAACGGTGTAAACAACAATGACTGTTGTGATAAATGGGGCTCACATACTTGAGAAGATTAAATTTAGTGAATAATGATAAGTGTTATAGTAGTTGTAGTTGGGTATAAAGTTTCTGGAGTTGAAATTTTCTAGGAGTGACTTATACTTGTGACAAAATTTTGAAGCTAGGTGTGGAGCTTCGGACAGCGTCTAGAATCCAGAATATGAGATTTAATTTCTGTTAATTGAAGAATAAATCAATTTGAATGACTGCAAACGCCAACTTAATTCTAAACTACATTAACATAAGTCTATTGCATTTATAGTAACAATGGAGCATTTTTAATCGCATGGTCCAGCTTTAGGTTTAACGCTTTCATGTGGCGAGAGTTTTAGCACTAACATTTCTCTCTGCCCATATCTCTACTTGTTATTTTGTTAAACATCAAAAGCAATCAGCAGATATCTCATTTTGGAGATATCTGCCTTTTCAGTTGATGGGCGTATTTTTCCTACGATCGGCACTTGTACTACTTTTCCACGAAAATTGCATTAAGTTCTACAATAGATATCTGCACAATAAGCCATTGATACTTAAATTTAATGATCAAATTATTTTAAATCGATTTCGGCCCACCCAGTCCCCTCTTTTTCTGTTTCAACAAAGTTTTGTAAGATTTAGCAACTTTAGGTTATTAAATTAAAAAT